TCGTTTTGAGAGAAGCATCTGATAGCGGTAACAACGGCAATACAAGGCGTAGGCACAACTAAAGCACCGCCGTGCTTGTGTAACGAGCCTCTCTCCATTCCAGAAAACAGCAGCGCCCACGCCAATTAGGCTCACGCAAGTAGCCGCCTCATGCGCTCTGCTCAGCACAGCGCGGCGGCCTTGGTGTCCCGTGACCGGTCGGCGGAGGGCTGCCGGCCAGGTCCTTCACCGTGTCCTGTGCAGTGTGCCGACGAGTATACCGACGGCTGCCAATGGCCGGACCCGTGGTATCCGGTTGCGCCGCCTCACCGTCGGCGGGGCTGTTACCGGAGGTCGGTCGGCGTCAGCCCCGCCCCGCCCCCGCCCCCGCCGCGGCCACAAGTTCAAGTTCAGAGCGGCGCGGCGTGTTGCGCTGGAGCGCGGTGGGAAGGGGGAGGTAGTTACCGTCTCAAGGGTACCGACGGACACAGTATATAACGTGCCACAGAGCCGCCGAAAGGCAGTACAGCTCTGTACAGCTCACAGTCAACATGGCCTACGTCAAGGTAAGAACTCCGAGGCGTTAGACACAACTCAAAGACACATTCACCAGTATTAACAAAATGGCAGAAACTAGAAGAGAATAGACCTTGCATAAATCATGCAGCAGCATTCCAAAACGAACAAAAAAGCCAGAAGAAATATGCAAAAAGATTGCGATTCAGAGCAACTGATAACACAACGTAATAAACTTGTCGACAAACGATTCATCATGACTGATGATTCGTAAATATGCACAGGTCAGACCATTTCGAGGCGTAAGTTTAATAAATCTCACTCTTCTATGTCACAGGAGTAATCAACAAGTCACAACAAATTACAAAAGAAAGATAAACTACTTAATATTTGAATAATTTTGGAGTTCGCCTAAACGTTCGCACCCCTCGTGTTTCAGGTGCTGACCGCGTGTGCGCTGGTGGCCGCTGCTAGCGGAGCTCCCAGCGCACCCCTGGCCTACGGCCACGGTTACGCCCATGGCTACGTCGCCTCTCCTGCCGCCTACGGCCTCGGCTACGCCGCCGTCGCACCGGCGCCCGTCGACGTGGTGGTCGGCCACGCTCCGGTCGCCAAGTCTGTCGAGGTGGTCGACTACGTGAACCCGCACCCCAAGTACGACTTCAGCTACGGCGTCTCGGACGGCTACACGGGCGACCACAAGTCGCAGGTGGAGAGCCGCGACGGTGACGTCGTGCGCGGACAGTACCGTCTCGTCGACCCCGACGGCACCGAGCGCGTCGTCACCTACACCGCCGACGACTACAACGGATTCCAGGCCACCGTCGAGAAGCGCCCTCTCGGCTACACCGCCCCCGTGGCTGCCCACGGCTACGCCGCCGCTGTTCCGGCCGTTGCTGCCCACGGCTACGCCGCCCCCGTGCCGGCCGTGGCTGCCCACGGCTACGCCGCTGCCGTGCCGGCCGTGGCCGTGCACGCCGCTCCGGTGGCCGTCTCCCACCAGTCGGTCACCAAGTCGGAGGGTTACGATGTGCCCGTCGTCAAGGAGACGGTGCACACGGCTCCCGTCGTGGCCAAGGCGGTGCCGGCCGTCCACGCTGTCCACTCTGTGCACGCCGCGCCGGCCGTGCACTCTGTGCACACCGTGCACGCCGCCCCTGCCGTGCACTCCATCAGCCACGGCTATTAACTAACTCATATACTTTCTGTAAAAACTGTACAACTATCCAAAGAACTGTGTTGCCACTGTGAAATGTACAGAGCTGTATGCTCCGTAATTTGATGATCTTTCCTTCTGAATGTTGTGTCGTGTTTAATACATGCCAAGACTGTACCTACTTGATGTTTTGGTTGCTAGCAATCGCGGAAGTACAGTAAGCAACTCCCCTTTAATATGCAAAAACCAGCTGCCCAGCTAAACAAACAAATACACAAAAACAGCAAGCAAATAAGGAAATAAAGCACATAAAAAACAGTCAGTAACCCAGCCGTGCTTAAACTGATACAAAACTTCAAGGGAAGCTGCAGACATGATTCTGGAATGGGTGTATACAACACTAATGGAGGGGAATGGTCTGCCTTCAGCCTTCTATTTGCTAAGCCCCGACCCGCGAAGTGGTAAACGATGTTCGAAAGGTCTTCAAAAATGATCACATACAAATTACTCCGCCAATTTGGGTCATGTAAGAGCCACTTTATCTGATGCCAAAAGATTGTCAGCATCAAGGGTCACTTTCCCCTGGATAAAAAATGGGCATCATGCAAAATATACCCCTCGTGTCTTAAAGCGCGCCTACTGCACATATGTAGACAATGTCAGTCATTGATCAGCCATTATAAATGCATCTCAACGAAGAAAGATGTGGTATCTGCCGTACCTATATTGAAAAACATAGAAAAGGTTGCAAATAAATATAATAAGATAAAACACTTTGTATTTTCACTGTAAATCAAATATCAAGCGCCGATAAAAGCTGGAAGCAGCTTCTATTCAACGAATGTCCTAAAAAAATTAAAGTCTCTTGGGATTCCCTCGTGGCCCTGCTTCGCAGAATATTGGTATCCATATTCCATCAGGTCATATCTGTATTTGGAGTATCAAAGCCCGGGGTAAAAGCCAAAAATTTCAGAGTGACAAAGCATCATCAACTATGTGATATTTATTCACTTTCGATGATAACACAAAAGCAAATATTCTAAATAGCCAGACGTTTCGGCCTCAGGGTGCCTTCGTCAGTGACAATACCGAGATACTAATACATTAATAAATTAATCAATATAATCTTTTACACTTTCAAAATACACATGACCTGGACATTTTTCAACCATTCTGCACATGGGACCAAGCATGGGACTCCAGATTATAAAAACTAAATATACATCTTTGACACGTTCAACTTTTAAAGCATGACCTTTCGATAAGATGATAATTGTAACTGTTATCAGATGTCGTTCAGTCGTATTCTTCCTTTCGAGATTCATTCTTAAATGTTTCGTTTTTTTTCTTCTTTCTTCTCCTTTTCGTTTTCCTTTCTATGTTTTCTTAGTTTTCTTTAACGCCATTTTGGCTCCGGATTTTGCCCATGTAAAGAAGCCCGGCTTCTCATTCACTGTGTTTTCGAAAGAGATGTGAGCTGCTTCCAAAGCCTTTCGAAAGAGCTCACATCTCTTTCGAAAACACAGTGAATGAGAAGCCGGGCTTCTTTACATGGGCAAAATCCGGAGCCAAAATGGCGTTAAAGAAAACTAAGAAAACATAGAAAGGAAAACGAAAAGGAGAAGAAAGAAGAAAAAAACGAAACATTTAAGAATGAATCTCGAAAGGAAGAATACGACTGAACGACATCTGATAACAGTTATGCCCGACAATTGTGCTGTGTACGTTTGTATAAGAGAAAAAGAAGTGTAGCATATCAATTATCATCTTATCGAAAGGTCATGCTTTAAAAGTTGAACGTGTCAAAGATGTATATTTAGTTTTTTATAATCTCGAGTCCCATGTGCAGAATGGTTGAAAAATGTCCAGGTCATGTGTATTTTGAAAGTGTAAAAGATTATATTGATTAATTTATTAATGTATTAGTATCTCGGTATTGTCACTGACGAAGGCACCCTGAGGCCGAAACGTCTGGCTATTTAGAATATTTGCTTTTGTGTTATCATCGAAAGTGAATAAATATCACAATGTCTGACACGATACATCATCAACTACTTCAATCGACCGGTGACGGCGAGGAATCATTGCCGGACAGTTTCAGAAAAATGCATAACCGATCCCCTGCATACTGAACTTTTTTAAAGCGATAAAACGCAAGGTCACCGTGATCAACTTTTACACTTTCGTCACGGAATGCACGCCATCCAAAGAATAGCGCATGTTCTCAGTCCTCCCTGATTTCATCTGACAGCAATATCATCCCGTTTATTGTAAAACTCTTAACCCGTATTTTTATTCCAATGTTTTCTACACACGTGACACCTGCACCTACCTTTTGTCAGAAAGCGTAGGTAAAAGACCAAGCAGAGGCAAAGTCGATCTAAATGACCTAACGTACCTACTCGCATGACGTGTTGGTTTAGAGGTCTGCAGATAAAGAGCAAGCAAGCATCAGGCCACGTCACATCGTTTCGCGCAATATCCAGAGATCTACAGTAGGTCTTCTGATTGGGCCACCATCTGATGAACAAATTTGAGATCCATGGAGTTTGTTGACCTCCCTAGGTCAAACGACTTAACTGTCACCAAATGGTTTCGGCCACGTTTTCTCTATCTCAAGAGCTCTCTCGCGTGCCAGTTTTAATTGGAGCCGAGCTGCCCCGAATATGGGCTGAATCGGGATAGAATATGGGGCGTCCTTATAGACATTCAAACATTGAGCATGCGAGAGTGCAGTGCATCATCCCCCATAAGATGGCCGCTTATCCAACGATTACTTTACAATGTTTCGGTCAAGATATTCCAGTTTTTTTTTAGAACAATTTCGGCACGTTGTTCGTGTCATATGTATCATATAGACCCTGCAAGAGCAGTCGAATTTGAGGTAGAACCATTGGAGTGACCCAGCAAGGAACACTGTTAGCTATTCGATCATACAGTCGTTGTCCGGCAAGAAATGAGTTTCCAAGAGCGTGGGCATTTATAATCAGAATATCCCCTTTATCTACCAAACACCTCTTTACCGCTAGAGCGAAGACAGAGCAAATGCAGAATATTTCTTAATCACTCGGTTTAATATGAGCAGTATTCGTATTTGAACTGCGCCCAGAGGACCACATACAAATCGGGAAAATATTGAGCACTTTTAACGTATGGGCACTCATAATTAGCAAACTGCGAAGTAAACATTAATTTTTACGTTGTTCTATGCAACACAATTACCCAAGGTACAAATAGTTTCTAGATAATGTTCAAGTCATTCCCACGTCACCGCGCCCCGGGTCCGGCACTGGAGCCAAGGTCGAGCTGAACGGATACCGTATATAACGAGCCACCGGACGGCCAGAAGGCAGTACAGCTCTGTACAGCTCACAGTCAACATGGCCTACGTCAAGGTAAGAACTCCAAGGCGCTAGATAGAAATTCAAAGACACATTCGTCACTAAACATTACAATCATGAAAACGAATATGAAATAATATTTTCGGAGTTTCTTGAGTGATATATATTGAAAAATTGATAGCAAATATTTCGATACTCGTAGTGGTACCTTTTTCAATGCGAGTGATGCACAGTGCGAGCTTTGTTAAGCACAACAAAATAGCACAATTCCCATGCAATCGGTGGAGCTGGGTCCTCCAGTGTATCGTATAGGTTATTTTATCTGCATCGTATAGTGTATCGTATAGGTTATTTTATCTGCACTGGAGGACCCAGCTCCACCGATTGCATGGGAATTGTGCTATTTTGTTGTGCTTAACAAAGCTCGCACTGTGCATCACTCGCATTGAAAAAGGTACCACTACGAGTATCGAAATATTTGCTATCAATTTTTCAATATATATCACTCAAGAAACTCCGAAAATATTATTTCATATTCATTATAACTTGAGGAAAAGGTAACATGACTCTTAAGTCATACATTAAATCATGAAAACATCAACAACTATCTGTGCAGCACTAACGGAACTTCAAGCAGTCATCAAAATGCCAAAAACTAAGGGAAACAGCCCTAGCATAAAGCATGCAGTGAAATTCGAAAAAGAACAAAAAGCCAGAAAAAAATATTCGCGATAAAGGGCAATTAGCGATTCAGGGCAACACTACGGAAGACTTGTCAACAAACTTTTCACTATTACAGTTGTTTCGAAAATATGTAAAAGACGATTTTGAGGCATAACTTTGAAAAATTTAACTCTACTTTGGCAAATGTGATTAACTAGTGACAACAAAGGAAAGATAAAGTATTCAATTTTTGATTCATTTCGGAGTTCGCTAAACACTCGCGCCCCTCGTGTTTCAGGTGCTGACCGCGTGTGCGCTGGTGGCCGCTGCTAGCGGAGCTCCCAGCGCACCCCTGGCCTACGGCCACGGTTACGCCCATGGCTACGCCGCCTCTCCTGCCGCCTACGGCCTCGGCTACGCCGCCGTCGCACCGGCGCCCGTCGACGTGGTGGTCGGCCACGCTCCGGTCGCCAAGTCTGTCGAGGTGGTCGACTACGTGAACCCGCACCCCAAGTACGACTTCAGCTACGGCGTCTCGGACGGCTACACGGGCGACCACAAGTCGCAGGTGGAGAGCCGCGACGGTGACGTCGTGCGCGGACAGTACCGTCTCGTCGACCCCGACGGCACCGAGCGCGTCGTCACCTACACCGCCGACGACTACAACGGATTCCAGGCCACCGTCGAGAAGCGCCCTCTCGGCTACACCGCCCCCGTGGCTGCCCACGGCTACGCCGCCGCCGTTCCGGCCGTGGCTGCCCACGGCTACGCCGCCGCCGTTCCGGCCGTGGCCGTGCACGCCGCTCCGGTGGCCGTCTCCCACCAGTCGGTCACCAAGTCGGAGGGTTACGATGTGCCCGTCGTCAAGGAGACGGTGCACACGGCTCCCGTCGTGGCCAAGGCGGTGCCGGCCGTCCACGCTGTCCACTCCGTGCACGCCGCGCCGGCCGTGCACTCTGTGCACACCGTGCACGCCGCCCCTGCCGTGCACTCCATCAGCCACGGCTATTAACTAACTCCTGCACTTTCTGTAAAAACTGTACAACTATCCAAAGAACTGTGTTGCCACTGTGAAATGTACAGAGCTGTATATTCCGTAATTTGATGATCTTCCCTTCTGAATGTTGTGTCGTTTAATACATGCCAAGACTGTACGTATGATGTTTTAGCTGAGCACTGGCCATTGCGTACAATTAACTACTTCATGAATATCGAAAAACCAAAAAACCAACCAACCAACCAACCAACCAACTAACCAACCAAAGAAACAATCAAACGAACAAAAAATAGGGCAAGAAACAAACGAACAATCAAACAAGCTAATCCGACAATAAACACACAAACAAGCAAACGCATAAAGCAATAAGCAAAGCACATGTCTAAAGGCCTAGCTACACCATGCGTTTTCTACACCATGCGTTTTTTGCGAGTTTGCGTGATTTGCGGAATATCGTTCTAGAAAGGAACGATATTACGTTTTTGTTATATGTTTTTCATATAAACTTTTAATTAACATAAACGTTTTATTAACTTTTATATAAATATGAAAGAAGTTAAATTAATAATAACCTTTATTCTGGAACAATATTACGCAAACACGCAAACTCGCAAAAAATGCACGCAGAAAACGCATAGTGTAGCCAGGCCTTAACCCTCGCCCATGTAGGGGGGGGGGGGTTGGTGCAACCCCCCCCCTGAGGTTTTTCTTAGCTACACGCCGAACCGTTTCAGATAGCCTGCTCAAATTTGCAGTACCCTTTGGGGCATCCTTTGCGCAGCTTTTGGTAAAAAAATTTGTCAAGGTCATGTCAGGTCACGGAGTTATGACGTCATAAAGGGAACAACCTCCGGCCAGATTTACGCTAAATTGGAGATTGCTTCACATTGGTATAAATGCCGACTGACCTGACACACTGATAGATTGTTTTAGAATCACAACTGACTGATTTGACATTGGCAGAATGTCCGTTGACATTTTGAAGGTTACTAAAGGTCAAGGTCAGGTCAGTGACCTCGGTTGACCTGTAATGACTTCTTGCACTTGTATGCCTTTTCGGGGTATTTTGATGCCCTGAATTCGAATTTGCTATCCATTTCAGGCATCGTCGGTTGTTTCTTGTAGTTCATTTTGGGTCAGAGTCAGGTCAGTGACGTCACACGCCTGACGTGACCCAATGCACAAATGACCTTGCAGACTTCCGATGCTCCCAACGCATCATTTTTAGAGTTATGACATCGAAATATACACCAAACGATAGAGAAATGATCAAGGATCACGATAGTGAAGGTTTCAAGTCGATATCTCTTACCATTTTGCCGCAATCGGCGCGGAAATCTGAAAAAGTTAGATTTTTCCGAAAATTTGACCTTTGACCGGTCATAAGTAGGTCAAATGTTGACCTAGGACCAAAAAATATACCACCAATCGCGAGATCCCGTTGAGAGCAATCCGTTGGTCTTTTCCGCTAAGCTCTACGACGCTCCGTTTTCAAACGCCAGGGGGGTCGCACCAACCAACCCCCCTGCATGGGCGAAGGTGGCAAAACACCGTTTACGGGCGAGGGTTAAAGCTTCGAGAGAACTTTATCTGCGAGAAAATTCATACAGATTATAGAACGATGATTTTCACCTACAGCAGCTGGTTGAAAGATTCAGAATATTGGTCACCATCAGTTTTGGCTGTATTTGTAAAAGGGATACAAAGCCCGGGGTAAAAGCAAACTAGCTCAGCGTCACAAGTTCAACTTACAATTAGCTTACATAAATCGACCAGGGACAACGAGGCACTGCACGGAAGAACAGTTCCCGAAGAAGTGCATATCCCATCCGTTGATTTCATTTGGTCCTCATATCATACTGATCTCAGGCAGCTTTTGCCAAATTGTCAGGGAACTCATATTTGTTTTTCAATAGAAAAACACAATTCTAAAGAATAGTGTTATAACTATTGACAACAAACCTTCGGTTACCGGTAACCAGTTATTGTAAAACTCAGTACCTTTTCTCCCATCAATTTGACATCTTCTGAAGTAAAATATTTAGAACTAGCCCCCTTGATGACGTCACAGGGTCGATTTTCTAGACCCCTGCACGGCAAACTTCGGCGTCATAGACATAACTTCAAATAGCTGCTAAAAATAGAGTTTTAGAGATAAAGACAAATTACGAGCACGGTTGTGTAGCGTTTGACCTAGAGAAAAATAGAAAAATAGTTTTGGTGACCTCAGGTCAGAGGTCAGGTCAACGACCCCGAAATGTGGTTTTAGTTTTTCGAAAACAACTTAAAAATGGTCCCAGAGCTACGGCAGTGGTACATCCATAGACCTCTGTATACCGGTATACAGAGGTCTATGTACCATTGCATTCGCCTTGCCAAGCCGCGTCGAATGATATATACAGTTGGTGTACCATAAGTTCCTTCTCACCTAAATTTTCTTTTAGAGCCCCTCTTATTTAAAGCCATGCTTAATTAATTTATTTGGTAAATGAGCTTTTGGGGTTGCCATGTCAACTCTGAATATGCTTCACAGTAACTAATTCGTCTAGACAAAATATTTTTTACTAGAGGGGTCACTTCCTGTGGAGACGGCTTACGCCGCAACATAGAGGTCTCCGATACGGGTACGTCTCGGTATTTAGTCCGCACGTGGGCTATTCGCGACCATCCAGTCTGTAGCCAATGTATGTCGCTAACTGGACGCACAGTCAGCAAGTGACGCCGATGAGTTGCCGGGAGTCAATTGCTGCAAATTTATGCTCTTTCTTGTCAGCTCTCAGGAGTGAGCCATGTGGCCAAAACTGTGAGGCGCCAAAGTGGCCGTCAAAAAGGTCTTAGCGTTAGAAAGTTGGTAAGCAGGCTTTTCAGGATGGATTACCAGCTGTCTAACAGTTTATTTCGGGGTACATAACTCACGGTCACTTGGGTTTAAACTTAACGGAGGACGCAAAACAGTCGAAAATATCTTAACCCGCGCCGGGCCGGGGGGGGGGCTATTCGCGACGGTTTTTGCCCGTCGTTAGTAGCCCAAAAACAAATCCGGAGGAATGTTGAACACTTTTAACGTATAGGCATTCATTAATTAGCAAACTGAAAAGTAAACATTAATTTTTATGTGATTCCATGCAACGAAACTACCTAAGATACAAATAGATTCTAGATAATGTTCAAGTCATTCCCACGTCACCGCGCCCCGGCCCGGCACTGGAGCCAAGGTCGAGCTGAACGGATACCGTATATAACGAGCCACCGGACGGACAGAAGGCAGTACAGCTCTGTACAGCCCACAGTCAACATGGCCTACGTCAAGGTAAGACAGCCTAACGAACGTTTTACAGGAGATATGCATTCAAAGGGTTTTACGGAAAATCCGTGGAAGAACCCGATGCTTATGAATATTTTAGCCAAACCAACGAAGACTTGGAAAAGCACCTGGTGGACAGCAGACAATGCACACCCCTATGCCTCGTTTTCATCTCCTTGTCTGTTTATGTTTCAGGTGCTGACCGCGTGTGCGCTGGTGGCCGCTGCTAGCGGAGCTCCCAGCACACCCCTGGCCTACGGCCACGGTTACGCCCATGGCTACGCCGCCTCTCCTGCCGCCTACGGCCTCGGCTACGCCGCCGTCGCACCGGCGCCCGTCGACGTGGTGGTCGGCCACGCTCCGGTCGCCAAGTCTGTCGAGGTGGTCGACTACGTGAACCCGCACCCCAAGTACGACTTCAGCTACGGCGTCTCGGACGGCTACACGGGCGACCACAAGTCGCAGGTGGAGAGCCGCGACGGTGACGTCGTGCGCGGACAGTACCGTCTCGTCGACCCCGACGGCACCGAGCGCGTCGTCACCTACACCGCCGACGACTACAACGGATTCCAGGCCACCGTCGAGAAGCGCCCTCTCGGCTACACCGCCCCCGTGGCTACCCACGGCTACGCCGCCGCTGTGCCGGCCGTGGCTGCCCACGGCTACGCCGCCGCCGTTCCGGCCGTGGCTGCCCACGGCTACGCCGCCGCTGTTCCGGCCGTGGCTGCCCATGGCTACGCCGCCCCCGTGCCGGCCGTGGCTGCCCACGGCTACGCCGCCGCCGTGCCGGCCGTGGCCGTGCACGCCGCTCCGGTGGCCGTCTCCCACCAGTCGGTCACCAAGTCGGAGGGTTACGATGTGCCCGTCGTCAAGGAGACGGTACACACGGCTCCCGTCGTGGCCAAGGCGGTGCCGGCCGTCCACGCTGTCCACTCCGTGCACGCCGCGCCGGCCGTGCACTCTGTGCACACCGTGCACGCCGCCCCTGCCGTGCACTCCATCAGCCACGGCTATTAATTAACTCCTGTACTTTCTGTAAAAACTGTACAACTATCCAAAGAACTGTGTTGCCGATTGCCACTGTGAAATGTACAGAGCTGTATACTGTGAATACTTCAATGATCTTCCCTTCTGAATGCTGTGTCGTGTTTAATACATGCCAATACTGTATCTACTTGATGTGTGGTGCCCCCCAGTCACCGATATGTGGTGAACAGCCCCACAGCACCACAGATGTTTTAGCTGCTAGGCATGGCGTTCAGTTAAAGGGACCCTCCTACCTTAAAAAAGTTAATGAATTGGCATGGAAATGATGTCGCTCGGTTCAGAAAGAGTGAAAACGAATATACCAAATTTCATCGAAAAATATTCACCGGTTTTCAAGATATTAGACTTTTACTTTTGTTTACTTTTTGGGATCTCCGCTGTTCCTAGCAACTTTATTTGAAATTGCGACACTTGTTGCGCGCAAAGCAGCATACACCACCGCGTGCTACCAAACGTTTTAGTAAAAGATTTAAAATCGTTAGATCTGCAATGACGTCACATATTCAAAGGGGGCATTCTAATGCATTAAAGGGACCCTCCCACCTTAACATTAGATTTGAGTTGAGATAGCCAAAATGGGGTCCCTGGCTCACAATTACCGGTTTCGGCACTTACAACATCGAGAAATGCCTTAAATCGGAAATATTGAATTTCAAAATTGCAGCATTTTGATTCAGAGGGGCTAATGCATAGGAATACCCCTCTGAATGTGTGACGTCAGCGCAGATATCTAACGATTTTTAAATGTTTGACTAAAACGTTTTGTAGCACGAGGTGGTATATGCTGCTTAGCGCGCAACAAATGCCGCACTTTCAAATAAGGTCGCTAGGAACAGCGGAGATCCCAAAAAGTAAACAAAAGTAAAAGTCTAATATCTTGAAAACCGGTGAATATTTTTCGAAGAAATTTGGTAGATATTCGTTTTTGCTCTTTCTGAACCGAGCGACATCACTTTCATGCCAATTCATTAACTTTTTTTGAAGGTGGGAGGGTCCCTTTAACCCCTCTGAATCCAAGTGCTGCAACTTTGAAATTAGATATTTTCGATTTGAGGCATTTCTCGATCTTGTGAGTGCTCAAACCGGTAAGTGCAGGCCTGGGACCCCATTTTGGCTATCTCAACTCAAAACTAATGTTAACCCTCGCCCGTATTGGTGTTTTTCCAGCCGCGAACGTATAGGGGGGGGGGGTCCGTTGGACCCCCCCCTTGCCGTTTCGCCCCTGATCGAGCTAGAGCTTCGCGGAAAAAACGAGCGTGTTGCCCGTGACGAGAGGAAGCCGATGATACCCAATTTTAAGGTCCTAGGTCATTGGTTGACCTTGCAGTTCAGGTCAATGACCCCAAAGGCGGGAAAATCGGGACCTGTTAGAACGTCGTAAAGTGTGGCTGCTATGGGGGTTTTCGGGGTGCTGATCACGAATATCATGTTAGTTTTGATCACAGATGATGTTTTCATGTATTTAGGCCAGGTCGGGTCAGGTCAGGTCAGGTCAACCAGTAAGGGTATTCGTAGTAGGTGGCAACCGCCTCTGACAGCTTCGTAACATGTTACAAAGGCACCAAAACTACTTCATAAATGTTTATATGGTTGCTAAATTCGAATTCAGCTCCAAAAACTGGCCTAGAAACATGTAAAACTCGAAAAAGTGAACCGAGGTCATCAAAGGTCAATGACCTGACCTGACCTTCAGGCAGGGCCTCGTCTAACATGTTAACTGGGGGGGGCAATTGCCTCCCCAGTCGAGCGGATTACCCCCCCAGTGGCCAACATTTGCCCCCCAGTCAAAACGTGAACTTCTCACAAAATTACCTTCTCTGCAATGCGTTTTTGTTAGGAGTCTTATACGGATTTAACGAGAAACGTTAAATTATTTGTTCAAAAACTGTTCATACTCCATGACTACGGGAAAAGCCAGAGTTTTGTGATTTATAGAGCTGAGTACCCACTGTGATTCTGTGATTTTGCTACTGTGATTCATGTAGCAAATTGTCAATTGGCAGCTGCCAGTGACCCAACTCGTGTTTGTGCCCCGCCCCCCCCCCCCCCCCTCCCACTCAATCAAACGCCAACGGCCCAACACGGATAAATATGTTTAACACTCTCTGGTGGGGCAATGTGAGGGGGTAACACATTAATCTTAACTCTCGCCCGTATTGGTGTTTTCCAGCCGCGAACGTATAGGGGGGGGGGGGGGGCGTTGGACCTTGCCCCTTGCCGTTTCGCCCCTGATCGAGCTAGAGCTTCGCGGAGAAAACCACCGGTTGCCCGTCACGAGAGGAAGCCGATGATGCCTCATTTTAAGGCCTTAGTCTTCGGTTGACCTTCCAGGTCAGGTCTATGACCCTAAAGTCGGGAAAATCGCGGGACCTGTTACAACGTGGTAAAGGGTGGCTGTTATGTTTTTTCGGGGTGCTGATCACGAATATCATGTTAGTTAATTATCACAGATAATGTCTTCAATCTTCATGCATTTAGGCCAGGTCGGGCCAGGTCAGGTCAGGTCAACCAGTAAGGGTTTTGCCGGTTATTCGTAGTAGGTGGCAACCGCCTCTGGCTCTGACAGCTTCGTAATATGTCACGAAGGCACCAAAACTACTTCGTAAATGTTCAAATGGTTGCTAAATTCGAATTCAGCTCCAAAAACTGGCCTAGAATCATGTAAAACTCGAAAAAGTGAACCGAAGTCATCAAAAGCCAATGACCTGACCTGACCTCGCGGTGACCTTGACGCTGTTGTAGAGCGCTATTAAACACCGCGTCGCGCGGCTTCGCTAATAAGCCCGGACCGGAGCCGCCCCTGCGGTGCGTTGAGGCCCTCTAGTTTGTCCGCGCTGGGCTCGCCCGTGCGACCCGACCGCGGCCGCGGGGCATTGGCGGAGCCGGCCGGCTGGCCGGCTGTGCTCGGCGCGGCGGCGGCATTCGGTGTGCGGCGGTGGTGAAATACAGACTGTGCGGACTTACGAGCAGTGTGAGTGAGCAAGGACATCGGTAACAACGCCTACCCTAATGCATGGGAGCAATATCATATTCCATGTTTGAACGCTTGAAACCACGAAAAGACTGCAAACGCGCGGCTAATGCGAGCCGACATACGCCGAATCGCGATTCCGGCCAAATATGGTCTCGAAAAGAAGTCACAGGGCAAAGGTCATTACGGTCAGGGTCATGACATTTTCAGAGGGTGTAAAATTGACTAACGCGAGGGTACTGAAAGTTTCGTCGCGGTCAGCCGCTTTTACGTGAGTTATTCGTGAAAAACCGGGGGGTCCGTTCGACCCCCCCCCCCCCATACGAGCATGGCTCTTTTTTTGTTTTGTTTTTTTGTTAAAAAAAATAATGGTCTCAGGGCTGTGACGAAAAACAAGTGGCCTAAATCAGGTGAGAAAACAGGATTTGGGGGTACCCTAGGTTTGGGTCCTTCAGTCTCTGCCCCCCCAGTGAAAATTCCTTAGACGAGGCCCTGTAAGGTGACCTTGACACCCACCCTAATGCATGGGGGCAACATCATATCACATGTTTGAACGCTTGAAACCACGAAAAGACTGCAAACGCGCGGCTAATGCGAGCCGACATACGCCGAATCGCGATCCCAGCCAAACATGGTCTCGAAAAGTAGGTCACAGGTCAAAGGTCATTTGGGTCAGGGTCATGAAATTTTCAGGGTAGGTGTGAAATTGATGAACGCGAGGGTACTGAAAGTTTCGTCGCGATCGGCCGCTTATTACGCGAGTTATTCGCGAAAAACCATGGGGAGGGGTCCGTTCGACCCCCCCCCCCATACGGGCAAAAGGGCAGATGTGATATTAAAGGGACCCTCCCACCTTCAAAAAAGTTTATGAATTGGCATGAAAGTGATGTCGTTCGATTCAGAAAGAGCGAAAACGAACATCTACCAAATTTCAACGAAAAATATTCACCGGTTTTCAAGATATTAGACTTTTACTTTTGCTTACTTTTTGGGATCTCCGCTGTTCCTAGGGACTTTATTTGGAAGCAATAGTTTGGCAGCTGAAAGTGCGGCATTTGTTGCGCGCAAAGCAGCATATACCACCGCGTGCTAAAAAACGTTTTAGTCAAACATTTAAAAATCGTTAGATATCTGCGCTGACGTCACACATTCAGAGGGGTATTCCTATGCATTAGCCCCTCTGAATCAAAATGCTGCAATTTTGAAATTCAATATTTCCGATTTAAGGCATTTCTCGATGTTGTGAGTGCCGAAACCGGTAATTGTGAGCCAGGGACCCCATTTTGGCCATCTCAACTCAAATCTAATGTTAAGGTGGGAGGGTCCCTTTAATGACCTTAGATCATTGCGCGATCTTGAGATGTAGGAATATGATAGTTGAAAAGTAGCTTCTGGTCATGACGATTCGTTGTATGCTATTTTTAGAGCTATATGCGAACGCTCGGGGTCAAAGTGCTGAAATACCAAGAATGCTTTAGGCCACATATTCTCTAACCCAAGGACTCTGTTGTGAACGAGTGTGAAGTCAATCCGATGTGTTCCGAATCTCGAGTATATGCGGGCTGAATATGGGCTGTCTCGATGGACACCCAAACATTGATAAATGAAAATGTTTCACCCGATAGATGATTGTTAACCGGCAAAAAAGCTTGGCCAAGCTGGCCAAGCTTCGGGCCATATGTTCCAAAATTGTTGCAAGCAGAACAATTTTAATCTCTTTGATTTCGCAAATGGCTCGTAGTTCGTACCACTATCATTAATTACAAAGCCTTATCAAGAGCTAGACATTACAAGGTAGGAAAGTTTTTCGGCTACTAGTCGTTTATTGTTTTTGTTTCGAATTTTCGACCTTCGCTCGAGGTCGTTGTCAAGAAACATATAACCAATATGTTTATATGTTTATATGTTTCTTGACAACGACCTCGATGCGAAGGTCGAAAATTCGAAACGAAAACAATAAACGACTAGTAGCCGAAAAACGTTCCTACCTTATCAAGAACAGCCATATTTGACGTATAGGCGATGGAGCAATGCAGCATTTGGGACTGCTAGCCAATCGTTCTTACAGTCACTGACTGGTGACTGGTGAGGGAAAAAAGCGTGGACCGTTCATACTCAGATTTTCCTGTTTAAATACGAACTGCATTTGACATATGAATGGAGAATTTTCTTTAAATCACTCTGAAAACGTGATTTTAAACTTTTCTCATTACAATTTTAAAATCATAGTTAAAAAAAAATGTAGAAAAGAGTAGAGACTGAACACTCAGAAAAACCCAAACAAAATGAAAGAAGATGAAAAGTGAACAATCATCTATGTACACTATTTAAGTGCTTCTCTGTTCCGATAACGTGACTTCATCCACACAGCTTAAAAGATTAAACGCAGAACGCTGATGGTAAAATGTCTAGCGGTATACCAGACTGGCTAGGAGGTCCTTCGGTCGGTTCATTTTCGCTAAAAAGGGAAATGTTAGCGAATAGGGTTCGAGTACCATGTAGGTAAACACTCATAAACCAGTTGAGTAAACTATTTATCAATTTTCACTTTGCTGCAACCAGATATATGGCGCCTTGCAATTAACTTACAAATATACGGATAGCCACCAGATAATGTTCAATGCATTCCCACGTCACCGCGCCCGGGTGCCCAAACCGGTAAGTGCGAGCCAGGGACCCGAATTGTGCTATCTCAACTCAAAACCAATGTTCATGTGGGATGGTCGCATTAATATGAGCATTGTTCGCATTTGAACTGCGCCTAGTAGCCCAAAAACAAATCCGGAGGAATGTTGAACACTTTTAACGTATAGGCATTCATTAATTAGCAAGCTGAAAAGTAAACATTAATTTTTATGTGATTCCATGCAACGAAACTACCTAAGATACAAATAGATTCTAGATAATGTTCAAGTCATTCCCACGTCACCGCGCCCCGGCCCGGCACTGGAGCCAAGGTCGAGCTGAACGGATACCGTATATAACGAGCCACCGGACGGACAGAAGGCAGTACAGCTCTGTACAGCTCACAGTCAACATGGCCTACGTCAAGGTAAGACAGCTTCACGAACGTTTTACAGGAGATATGCATTCAAAGGGTGTTACGGAAAATCCGTTGAAGGAAACGCTGTTTATGAATACTTAAGCCCGAAGAATAATACCTTGGAAAAGCACTGGTGCACAACAGCCCATAACCGGCACATCAGAGTAAACCTTCGGGGGTCGATTTCAGCGTCTTGTCTGTTTATGTTTCAGGTGCTGACCGCGTGTGCGCTGGTGGCCGCTGCTAGCGGAGCTCCCAGCACACCCCTGGCCTACGGCCACGGTTACGCCCATGGCTACGCCGCCTCTCCTGCCGCCTACGGCCTCGGCTACGCCGCCGTCGCACCGGCGCCCGTCGACGTGGTGGTCGGCCACGCTCCGGTCGCCAAGTCTATCGAGGTGGTCGACTACGTGAACCCGCACCCCAAGTACGACTTCAGCTACGGCGTCTCGGACGGCTACACGGGCGACCACAAGTCGCAGGTGGAGAGCCGCGACGGTGACGTCGTGCGCGGACAGTACCGTCTCGTCGACCCCGACGGCACCGAGCGCGTCGTCACCTACACCGCCGACGACTACAACGGATTCCAGGCCACCGTCGAGAAGCGCCCTCTCGGCTACACCGCCCCCGTGGCTGCCCACGGCTACGCCGCCGCCGTTCCCGCCGTGGCTGCCCACGGCTACGCCGCCGCCGTTCCGGCCGTGGCCGTGCACGCCGCTCCGGTGGCCGTCTCCCACCAGTCGGTCACCAAGTCGGAGGGTTACGATGTGCCCGTCGTCAAGGAGACGGTGCACACGGCTCCCGTCGTGGCCAAGGCGGTGCCGGCCGTCCACGCTGTCCACTCTGTGCACGCCGCGCCGGCCGTGCACTCTGTGCACACCGTGCACGCCGCCCCTGCCGTGCACTCCATCAGCCACGGCTATTAACTAACTCCTGTACTTTCTGTAAAAACTGTACAACTATCCAAAGAACTGTGTTACCACTGTGAAATGTACAGAGCTGTATTTTCCGTAATTTGATTATCTTCCTACTGAATTTAGTGTCGTGTTAAATACATGTCAATAGTGAAGGTACCCGACGCTTTGGTTGATAGCCATCATTTTCAGCTACCCGACCCGATTTGTAGGCAAGAAACAAGGGGTATTTGGATGAGCTCAACACATGCATGAAACGCCTGTTTTTGCCTTTCTCTGCGGTCGTCAGCCTTAGCTATTCCGATCCAGATTTGAAGGCACGTATTTTTTAACTTCTAATTACACCTTTTAATCACTTTTTCTTTCACTGAAAAGAGGTATCTAAGTTTTGGAAAACGCCATCAGAGCGAGTGATAAAAGGGAAACCTGAAAATTAAAGTTTACTTTAGTTACTGTTGATCATATTTTCTGCATTGCAGGCTAGTTTACATGTAGCCGAGCTAATATTCTCATACGTTGCGATCAGCTCGCGGAAATGGTTTAGCGAATAATTTTCACAAAAAAAAAAAATATAGAGTAAATAGAACTTACAAAAATCAAAAACGTTTTTGGCATGCATTTTTGAAACGTCACAAACAATAAATGATCACGCATAACTGGTTTGATGGCAAAACGTTTTGCAAAAGCCCGTTTCATCCATAGAGATCTTATGTATATAAGATCTCTATGGTTAAGATCTCTATGGTGTCATCACGAAATGCAGCCGTTGCATGACTAGCGCTCGTGCTCGACACTGCCCTTAGTACAAATGCGCAACTTACCTGGTCGTATGGGTGGCCGATCAGGATTTCGGAGCACTTGTCCGCACAAGCTTCGAAATTTCTACGGCGGTACAGACTGATTGCTTGAAACAGCGGATCCATTGTAGAATCAATCGGTTTGGTTGCTCTTGTTTTCTCAACCGATGAGTATTTTTACCCTGCCCGTATTCTGCAAGCAAAAAGTTTACGCTTTATCAGTTCAGACACATACTAAAAACAAGCCTATGACACAAGTTACTATTCATAGAGGCTTAAAAAAATTAGCGCGCCTAACCTTTTCATGAATTCCGTCCATTTGACCAACAATAATTCAGAGCCTTTCGTCGCCTTCATCTTCTGTTGATATGCCGATGAGTAAGAACACCATTTAGCGACCAGCAGGCTGAGAATGGGAGTTTGAAGATTCTAGCTGGCAGCTATGCATAAAAAACGAGACGCCGCGAACTGCAAAGGCTCATTCTGTATGTCGTTTGTTTTTGTTGGGTTAGGCCCTTTCGGTTTGACAAGACCATTGCAGAGCCGTAACTCTGCAACGGCCGACACTCCATCTATTACAATAAAACGAGACTTACTGCATCTACAGGGGCGTCGTTTTGTATAGGCCTGGGAGTGCCCGAGCACTACCAATGTTCAGCTGAGCACTACCAATGTGTTGTTGAGCACTACCAACATTTTTCTTCACTTATTGAGAAAATTGCATTCAAACATGTCATACAAATAAAATGAATGAGGTTCTTATGTATAAAATCAACATGATAGCAAGTAACTTCAATGGTAAGTGGTAACTATTGATGAAAATCTATAGACTTACTCCACAAGTAGATTGAATTTGAATTGGTTGATCAATTCAATCTTCTTGTAGCGTACCTAAGTCCATAAATTTCCATCAATACCTAGGTATCATTTTCACTTTCCACATCATGTCATTACGTCAAGTAATTTCAAGTTATGTGGTACCTACCTACCTACCTACCTACCAAATTTCACAATAGTCAGGGGCGTCGTTTTGTATAGGCCTGGTAGGGCCCGAGCCTTACCAATGTTTATTTGGGCCCTACCAATGTTCGCTGAGCCCTACCAATCTTTTGTCACTTATCAGTTGATAAAAAATCAAAATAAACAGATAAGCAAATATTAAATAAGCACATATGCAAGTACATAAATAAGGTTCTAGCCACAGTAGGTGCATGTAGCTGACAATGAGGTTTCACGTGTCTAGGACTCCGGTCCTTAATGGATTTTAAGAGGCTCGAAAACGCAATTGGTTATAGAGGTCCATAACTGCCTCTGAGTCCCGCATACCACGCGACCGCCCCTAATAGACCCCGATCCGTCTCCACACCAGCCGCTGGAGGCCCTACACCGACTTAGGAAGGTGCCGCGGTGCTCCAGAATAGGCCATAGGTATATTGATTTGAGTGGGTGATACAGCCTGATTCCCCAGGGTTCAACGCCAGGTCATTACCGCATCAGACCCCGAAAACTGAAGCTCGTAACTACGAGGGGCGTTCAAAAAGTGTCGGGCCGAACAATGAAGGAGTTGGAATTTTGGCCTGCAAGGCGGTGTGTTAAATGATGTGTTATTGGGATGTCCACTTACGCAAATTAAGTAAGTGGCCATTAATTAAGTCTCTTCTGTGATTGATTCGGGCTTCTATTCGTAGCATAGTTCGCCATTTCGGATAGGATGGGCGACGCCCAGAAGAGAGCAGTGATTCGTTTCATAGTAGTTAGTGCAGAAAAGGCACCAAGCGTTAACCCTCGCCCTGGGCATTTTTCATAACACGGCCTGGCAGGGGGGAGGGGTCGATGCGACCCCCCTCCGCTCGTCAACTTTCCAAAACAGGGGCACACAATTGATGATGTGCGTCCATTCGATAAACATCGAGGAGAGGCTATAGGGAAGCTGACGTAAAGTGTGCACCTGATCCGCGACCACGCACCTGCGTACATGGGCGGGATGACGAACAGTGAAGCGATGAGCTTCGAGTTGTTGTCGCATCCACTTTTTTCTCTCCGAACCTTGCACACTCTGGTTAGTGGTTGCCACCTCTTCCCCAACATAAGAAAATTAGCAGCGGCAACCTCGGTAACAGCAGGGAGACGAAATCAGCCGTCTTGGACGTGCAGGATGGGTCCAAAACCCACTTGGTTATGGAGGCCTTGAGGGCTCTCGCGAAGCGCTGCGCGAAATGTGTTTGTCTTAACGGTTTTCTCTTCTTCAAATCAACCTACAAGACAAAAAGAAACCGTGCTGGCCAGACTGAGGCTAGGACACACGTATCTTACACACTCGCATATATACGACCGTGTACCACCTCCAATATGTCACTATTGCCCCACACATCCAAGATACACAATACAACACTTCATACTCCACTGCCCACGCCTACAGCACCACAGAAGACACATTATAAGACACATTACCACACATGGCCTCAGTCTGGATTTGCCAACTATCCTTGGCGACCATAATCCAGAGCTTCATGATTTGCTTTTTATCTTTCTCCAGGAGGCACGTCTTATTAACAGCATATAGAAACCACCTCACTGAGACAAAAGGAACCCCGAGCACGGGCATGAGTGGGCGCCGTGGGGACGATAGTAACGCGGCGCCCAGTTCCTTACACGTATGTACAACCTAAATCCCGGTCGTTTATTTACATTATCCTTTTGATTGCATCGTGTGCTCGCGCTCTAGCCATTGATGTTTCTTGCACTGTGTAACTGGCATGTGTAACTGGCGGCCCCCTATTGCGCTCTCCGACCCGCTAAGGCGGAGTCGTTGAGAGCCAACGCCGACTGGCAGCCAAGGTGTTTACGCCTGTGGTCGCCGGGCGCCCCTCCCCAGCACGGGGTCGTCATTATCCCTTCCCTTTTACCTCCTACACATTAGATTAAACAACTGTAGGGTTTTTTCCCCGCGCTCTTTGGCTTCAGCGCGGGGTTTTCCCCTTTGCAATAGGCGTCAGGTTTTTTGTTATTTAGGACTTTTTCCCTGACCAATACACCCCACACCAGTACACTGACACCTTACACAAGTGTATGAATATGTGATGTAAATAAATGTTACCGTTTCTTCATCTGTGTTTTGTTCCGGCTTTTTCGGCACTTCGGCAAAAGTAAGTTCCCCCATTAGATTTGCTCACACACACTAAGGATAGGCTCCCACGTTGCTATTGCTTCCGGGTTCACATAAACCGGCTTAACGTAAAACTTTGTTCCTGGCCAAAATTGCCAGATGTAATGACCCCCGGCTCCAGACTGGCTTTAGGCTGGCGGAGCAAAAAAAAAAAGTGTTTATTTGAATAAATGAACTTTTTGGTCTAATGAGTCGATGCTGTATCTCTCTGCTCCTTCATGGTCGGGCCCGTAGCTTTCTGAACGCCCCTCGTACTGTCATCCTTTTATTTTGGCAAGCAGGTCTTTCTAACTATCGTTGTGTTTCCAGTCCTCGTTAGTTGTCGAACCCTTCAATTTGCGTGGGTCTTCAAAACCGTTCCTGGCCCCGCAGCCGTCTTTTTTAGTCGGCTTGGGCCCTCAAAGCTGTTCCTGTCCCCTTTCAGCACAGCCGTCCTTTTAAGTCGATGTGGGCCTCTTTCAGAATGGCGTGCATTCCTCCGACACTATTGCCTATATAACTGCACGTTTTGTGCATGGCGTCCGGTGTGGACCCAGATTTCCAAAGTTTTTTTTGTGTTTTTTTAGATTTCGGTTAGTCTTGTCAATGACCAGGGCGAAAAATAAGTGGCCGAAATCCGATGAGAAAGGCAGATTTGGGGGTACCCTACCTTGTAAGCCCCGTCAATATATGGCCAGCCGCCGCCTTTGGGCACTACCAATCATTTTCGGAAAACGACACCCCTGTGCATCTAAGTCAGTCAGCCGTCACGTATTTTGAGTGTTTTATGATATCCTTGGTTCGAGTTCTTTCGGGAAACCAAGGCAGTAGGTACGTACAATCCACAGCAGAAGTAATGTGCGGTTTCAGTGGTTTCAGTCATGGGTATGTTCTGCTTCTGAAGCTTAGAAACGATTAGCTAAACTACAATGAAACTTTGGAATGTACAGTAGCTTACATGTATCGTTACCCTTGCAGCTGCAATTTTATCTATTGAGGTCTTCTTTTCGATTACTCCGCATTAAAAAATCGCCAGTCAAAGCCATCCGTTGAGATTGGCAAAGCCGCACATTACTTGTCGGTGGTCTGTACCTATGCCGGCATTTTCAAGCGTCACGAATCGCGTGGCATACAAATCCAGGTCCGTTCCCTCCTTTCCATCCCCAGGACAGTCAAATCCTTTTCCTCCACGCCTCTCTCCCCTGCTCTGGGCTAGACAGGCGCAACTTTATCCCATGCGGGCGGCTCCCATTGTAGCACACCGCCGCTCCTAAGGGAGTACAACCGTAGCCGGATGCAGTGAGTACTTGGGGGGCTGGTCGGCCTGTCCTTTTGGACGGGCTCAGCCCCGTTGACTCACTAGGGTGCCCGCCCAGACCAACGTCTCCCCCTAATTCCTATCATCCTTCCGGCCCTGAAATGGTCTCGTCAGACCGAAGGTGTCTAGCCTAACAAGTCAAACGAATGCAAATCTAAGCGAAGGACAATAGTACCTAAATTGTACATAGGCAATGATGTGCCAAGCAACAAATATTTTATGCCGTAACTCGTAAGTTAGGCAAGCGTCAGCAATCTCCAGCCCGCGTCTCTGACTCCCTGCCCGAGGGCCGCGACTGATGTTGACGGTAATTTATTATTCTAATCTCGCTGTGCCCAGCTGGCAGCATTGACTGCCCCAAAATGTTTGTGTACGATGAAGACGAACGGACAATGATTTATTTAATACGCAATTAAACCTGCATACACTGAACCCGAGCCACTCAGCAACGACGTTAGTATGGACTTGGCAATGGCATCAGGGCTGAGGAGTCGGAGTCGGAGTCAGTCGGAGTCGACGGTGGAAATCGCCTCTAGCACCCCGGTACCTTTAGAATTATACTGTTTATACTGTTCTGACAGGAGCCTCGGAGTCAGAGTAGATTTTGGAAACTGAAATCGGAGTCGGGGTCACCGAAAAAAATATTGACTCCGCAGAACCACTATGAATGCGGAGTCGAAGTCGGAGTTGGTAGACGGTAGTAGCCGATAGTTCTGCCCGGAGTGAGAGTCGGAGCTGATTTTTGAAATCCGGAGTCAGAGTTGGAGTCACCGAAAATCTATAGACTCCACAGCCGTTTGGCATAGAGATCCACTGCTACCATAGGCGGTGGAACGTGGAGGGCACCGGGGCACCATGCCCCCCTTTGATTTTGGCATTTTAACATTAGTCCTATGGGCGTTGCATGGAAAGAATGGGAGGCCAAAAGTCGGCAGTGCCCCCCCCCCCCCCCTTAATTGAAGGTGTTCTACCGCTACCGACTGCTACGCCACACTCCCCAGATCCGCGCCACTCGCCAGTGCCTCTGCACAGCAGGGGCCCAGAAACTGGACGCCGCGCCGGTGGAAACAGGGCGCCGGAGCCCGGAGGGCATACTAGTCACGTGACATTTGGAGCTTCTCCCCCTTTGCGGGCCTTCTACATGCTAAACGTCACGTGTGAATTTCACGAACCTTGATCAAATCGCCCCAGGCGCCCTGTTTTCACCGTCGTCCCAGAAACTCCATGCAGTGGTGAGTCTGATACGTCTAATTTGGCATTCCGAAAAGACGATTTAACAATTCAAGAAACATGCAAACGACCATGTTAAAAGGTTACGGTATATACAAAACAAAAACAAAACACAGGAAGGTGGTAGTCACCTTATATCACCGTGTTATGTTATGCATGAACATTGAACATATTTTACCCAGGCTACAGAAATCATGGATTATTTATTACCTCCGTCGTATCGCCCACATTTGACATCAGTATGGAAACAACAGCGTCAGGAAACTTATAAAAATGCAGCAATTATTGCGTGATCGACACCACACAGCTTCTGACAAGCTTCTGGACCATTTTGCACAGACTTTTTGTTTTGCTTTGACTTGTCAATCAGTCGCCATGGTAACTGTTTTTCAAGAGCTTTTGATATACAACCGGAGTCAAATGTAACGATAAAAAGGAACAAAATATTTACTTTTTCAGTAGGTTTAACTCATATTTTTTATGAGAAATAAAGAAAATCATCATTTGAAAAAAAAAAGAAATCAAAATCACTTATATCTTTAAAAGTAAACCTAAAATGCAAAAGTTGATGAACTCGTCACTAACGCGCAGAGATGACTCACATATGTTGGTTTGTTTGTTTTCTATTGCCAATTGCAATGCACGGAGAGTAATAACAGCAGAAAAAGTGCGGGGTATATTTGGTTGCATATTTAATTGTTGCTTTTAAAATTACAATACCAATAGCAGGATGGCCGCAGACAGCAGAGATGTTAATCTTGAGATGGTGAGTCGGTAGGGTACCTAGGTACCTATATCTAAATCTGTTAGTTGAGTACCTACCAGTATCTAATTCATTTTATTGCAATGTTTATGTTGATGGGTCATAACTATCCACCTTATTACCCACAGTTAAGGCATGTTCCCATGGTGGCTCTAACCTCCTCTTGTCTTCCAAAATAATTATGTTGCTCCTTAAACTTTGAAGCTCCTTCAAGCTTATTCCAATTCAAATTTGAATTCCACATCTGGTCACAACTTTTCTCCCTCAAGAGAATATCATGTAGCCAACAGTTTCGGGCGCACCACATGGCGGATGGGACGTGTCATTCTCCCTTGTGAATAAAAGTTAAATTTTTGGGTGAAGTTTTGGTAGACATATAGATACCAATGTATTTTGGTGCACATAAAGCCTTCTCTTCCGAGATATTTCTAGATTGGCCATGGGAGTAGACCCTTATTTTCAGACCCTTAATTTCATATTCTTAATTTCAGACTGTATCTTTCTGCCAAAATAATTTTTATGAATTGTGTTTGGCGGTATGATGATAGTTTGTTGGGCGGAGGCTTAAAAATGAGATTTTTTCAGGGAGATTAAGCTGAAATGTGGAGCTGAAATCCAAGTAGACAACATCATCTAACCTGATCTAACCTTACCTATAGGGCGGCTGAAATTTGGCATGGGAATAGGAGGTGAAACTGCCTATCTTTCTTAACAGTGTACTGACCTACTAAACAACCTACATCCCTACCACCTACCAAGCTACCAACCTGCACCTACCAACCTACAACCTACCACTTGGACTTCATCTTCACATATACTCATTAAGCTGCATGTTATGTTCATCTCAAACATTGGCTGAGCTGCTGAAGTGCTAGATCCTGTTGAATGAAGCCAGAAAGCTACTCCAGTGCTCATATGAGATGTAGTATGCAGTTCACAAATGGTGGGAGCAGTCTGAGTCATCAAAGTAATTTGAGTGGGATGGACCGCCTGTTACTATTTGGCACACTTGACTTTGACATTCAACTTCTCTTTGATACCCTGAATTGTGTGCTCATACCTTGGTGGCTGGACTAAGTTCTGGCAAAACAAGCTTTGCCAAACATTGGCCATGGCCCAATCTTTCCAGTGAATCATGAAAGCATAGTTTATAAAAAGATGAATGGCAAAATAAGGGTTTCTCTAAAATCATGAGAATCATCAAATTTACTCTGTAGGTACCACATTTACTCTGATTTAAGTTGACAACTCTGTGTACCACCAACTGTCACTCAACTGAAAAGGAATTTTTTAATTTAAGGTTCATGTAAGGTGGTTAACAATTCCTTTTTTGTTTCAGACTGAAGAGCAGCAGGCGGCTGGCGATTCTCGCGGAGAAGTCCCTCCGACACCCATAGCGGTCCCAACTGTCTCAGAAAAGGTACCAATTAGATTCAACAACATTGCATTGTGATATAGGTAATGACACTACTGACCTTGATGCACTGTTTTTATGCCATCACACGCACACACACCCTGCTTCCAGGTGCCCGCAGAGAGTGTCGATGGAAAGAAGGCCCGCGTGCCGCGGCGCATCCTGCACTTCAGCGATGGCACTATGGAGGAATACAGTACAGACGAGGACGAGCCCGACCAGCCGGCCCAGGACGCGCTTACGCACCTGCGCACGGAGAACCCAGTGAGTGTGACCGGTCCGGTGTGCCGTTGGTTGCATCGTCTCTAGCTTGGCTACGCAGAACATCAAATGGATCACCACTGCACATTTTGGGCTAAAGAAGCAGAAAACCAAAACCTCCTAACATGCCAGACTTTCTCTTATTGAATGGTCTAATGTGATGACGTGACATTTCGCGAAGAGATCGTAACTCCCGACCTGACGCCGTATTTTACGGCTTGTTTGTGTGTTTGGCAGAAATCGATGGGCTGGCTACCATGGGCATGGTGGTGGTTCCGCTACGCCGGATACCGCACGCTCGGCGGAGTGGACAATATGGGAGAGAAGCTGGCCTACATGCTGGGCATCACGTCACCAAAGTACCAGTACGAGCTCGACGAGTACTACGAAATGAAGAAAAAGGTCGGTAGTCAGGACCACTTCAGTGGACATTGCTGAACGGGGTTCTCATGCCATTAAGAGCCTTCGCTCGAGGACTTGTGTAAGGAAGCTGCCATAGTTATTATTCAATTAGCGTATGTCCATAGATCTCTGTGGTCTATGGTATGTCCTTTGCCGTTCTGTGCGATGTTTAGGCTGTTATAGCCCAGGCTATGTTACGCTGACATCTATTTCCCACGTCCAGGAGGAGGAGGAGAAGGCGCAGCGGGACCTGGAGGAGGCCGGCTGGTCGCCGGGCACGGCGCTCACCAGCGAGCAGCCGGCCGGCCCCGGTCCGACCGCCTACTTGGTGGGCGGCGACGGCGCCGAGCCGGTGACGACGCCGCCGACGGCCGGACGACTGCCCGACCAGACGGCTGCCGGTGTGTCCGGCCAGCCGGTGGCCGCCACCACCACACCGTGAGGGGTGGAGCAGCGGGCGGCCGGCACCAGGTGTCTCCGGTCAGCCAGTAGCGGCCACCACTAGATCGTGAGGGGCTGGGCGGGCGGCCGGCACCAGGTGTCTCCAGCCAGCCGGTGGCGGCCACCACACCATGAGGCGGAGCCGAGCGGTGGGCCGGAGTGGCGGGCGGTACTCAGTGACACAGAGACACAGTGAGCGGTGTGATGCGACCGGTTGCGGTGTGTGCTGTGCAGTGGATAGAGTTGTGAGATTCATTCTGATAGCGACATCCGCAGGATTGCGTGATGAGCCGACAACAAACTGGTGCGTGGCCGCAATCAGGACAGTTCCAACTACAGACCACCGTTCCCAAATGGAGAATCAAATCAGTATTTTAGTGGGCTGTACCATACACAAAAGAATCCGTGTATTTTTGCTCTATTTTCATACCAATGGACGATTAATCGGGATCAAGCTTACCGCTCGCTATGTGCGGGTATCCTTTATTGTTCAGTGATTGCATTCCCGCATTATCTTCAGTGTTATTTGTTTAGATTGATCATGACTTTACAATAGGCAAGAGATCCAAAATCACGGCTTAACGATGAAACGTGAATCACCTTTCAAAATCAAGCCAATCGCTTATGATTCTTTGGCCAGCTCACGCATACGCGTTCCATATTTCGATTGACGAATGACGTGTGTTTGCTTTGCGGTGTGGATGTTCACATAAAGTAGTTGGCGCCTCGTTTGAAGCCAAGCTTCTGCGTATCGTCAGTGATGATACAGAGACTGGTTTGGTGAACGGTGAACACGTCTGTGTTTCTAGGACAGGCTAGTCCGCCCTTTCTAGTCAAATCGCGCTCTTTCGTTGTGCTTTATGGTGTGAAATCATGGTATCTTGACTGGCTTGGTTGTGTATTTATAGGTATAATTCAATGGTGTATCCACGTAAGATTTATTTACCTCTATATTGGTGGTGAGTTGGTGACTAGATAATAGATATTTAGCTTCACTTCGATGACGTGTAGTGTGTAGTGTAATTCAGATTGCAGTGTCATTGTCAACTCCTAGAGTACCGAGATCGTGGCGTGTAATCATAGAAGTGCTCTCAATAAAAGCGGTTAAACTGCGAGACAAGTGACATTTGACTTTGTGAATGTCACTGTCGCACTGTCGCCTGTCGCATTACGCTAAGTTTCTAGCCGCTGAAACAACATTCGACCATCTGATGATGCAGGTAAATCATCAGACATTTTAACATGCGCGACCGGAAAAGGTCTCAACTCTGACCGTCAATCCAGGTGTTTTAATAACCACGTTGAAATAACAGTCTCTGAAAAATCAATCAGCATACAAAACATTTTATTCTAGCCAGTCTTTGAGGTACAAACAGTGTTTCGGAGTGACGGAGCCCACGTCTGAACACTGGTCTATCACCTGAAACAAAGGAACGAAAAACGGTCAGTGTCATGACCTGACGCGTTCGGGCAGGCGCAAGCCTGCGAAGCACGGTAAGCGATAACTCCATCCAAGCAGTGCCATAATTTTGCAATGAGTTCACGATGCATACAAAGATTCATCATGGGGCCGAAGTATTATGGCAATTAGCCGCAATCAACAAACGGTAACGAGTCAGGTGAGGAACTGCAACTGTTGTCAAACGTGGTCCAACATACCTATCTCTCAGGAAGTTTAACCCGCGCCCCACTGGGGGGGGGGGGGCTATTTATAGCCCCCCTCCCGTTTTTCTGCAATAACTTCCAAACCGCTTGACGTGACGACGCCAAACTTTCAGTACCTTCGGCTGCATCAATTTGACACCTTGTGTCAAAATTTTAACTTCGTTACTACCATAGGTCGGCCGGAAATGACGTCAGAGTGACGTCATGTTCGGCCGATTTCGACGCAAAACATTGAACCACGGCAATCGCTCCCAAGAGCTCAGTTTTTAAGCTAGATCCAATTTCTTTGCATGAGAGGACTCAAAATAGACCGCGCTATCAAACTGCTATCTCGGATTTTCGAAATTTTGAAAATTTCGAAAAGTTGATATAATAAAATCCAAAACTTATATTTTTACATTTTTTCAAAAAGTTTTTGACTTTTCGAAAAAAAAACCGGAATATATGCGATAGAACGCATTATTATGACTAACTATAGCAAGTTTTAGCTAAATATCTTCAAAAATGGCAAAGTTTTAAGCATTATTGCAAAAAATTCACAATTATTAATTTTCAAATCAATTTTTCAGCACGTATTTGACATCGTACGCCAATATAAATAGCACCATCGTGTTCCTGAGCTCGAACTGCATCCAATAGACACCTTTTTTGTTGAAAAATTTTAACTTCAAAATTTGACCTTTTTTGACCTGAAAGTGACCTGACCTAAGCTAAATTCGACTCAAAATGACCTCGAATGACACAGACGACATTACATTCGAAATCTCTGGCCTAAATGGACCATAAAACATGTGTCACGTGACCGACGCATGATATAATATTTTCGTGACCTGTGATGACCTGACCTTGACCTGAAAATCAAACTACAAGTTTGGTACCCTCGGGGTATCTAGAGCATCTGTTCGCGAGTGTGTGATCCAAAAATGAGCCTTTTGACCTGACCTGTGACGTCATCGGTGACCTCGAGGTCAATGAAATTAGGTTTCGCTCGTCGACAGTTTTTCCGGGGCTATCAGAAGACGTTTGAATTTTGACGATCGGCCCAGTAGTTTCGGAGTTAGGAGGGGGGCTATGAATAGCCCCCCCCCCCCCAGTAGGGCGTGTTATACGCAGACCCCAGTGGGGCGCGGGTTAAATGTTATGAGCTCAATCACAATACTGGTAACAGTCTGCTCAAAATAAGCTTGTTCGGAGATTCACACGTGGATCTATTGCTCCAATCCACACATGTTACTCATAACCAGGCCAGCAATCAGCACTCTCCGAGGTGCGCCGTCGATTCCCACGCCTATGCGCGCCACCTACCGGGCAGATGCCGCACGGGGTTTTGACCAGGCCGACAGGTGGCAGCAGCGTCTGGGTAGCGCGGTACAGTTTCAGCTGCTCCTGGACCCCGCCGCCCGCCTGCAGTCGCCTTTCCACCTTGCCGTCATAGATGAGCGTGTCTAGGATCTTCTCAATGTCGGGCACGGATAAATTCACCTGCAAGAGAGAGGCGAGAGCTTAAAATACGGGACATAGAGCTACAGAAGAGATGGCATTAACGATTGCTTCAAAATTGGGTCAGCAAAGCATGGATTAATGTCGATTGAGTTCAGAGTTCTCATGACTTGAAAAAGGTGATGCGAATTAACCAACGCGAGAAGCATATTAAATAATTTCCGCACCGAAGGAGCTATCCTGCATTACGAGTGGAGCTGTTTTGTCTGAAAAGTGAACATCAAGAACCTGGCGAACTTGGCGTGTGTGATACAATAACGATTTTCTGTGCCATTTGATGCTTGATCCGATTTGGATTCGATGTGCAATTGGGCATAACTCGTGCATATATGAATGAATACAATCATTCAACGCTATTATTGCACATGATTATCACAGAAGCACGGAATAACGGTAAACAGAACACCCTTTTGTACTCGCATCCCAATAGAGGGAATTACTATCGAAACTGAATGATTGAAGCCAATCAAGCCATGCATGGGCTTGGGTTCGTGAGAACAGCCTGTCTGCTCATCAGTGCCTGGCTACCGGAAATCACATCCCTGAAATCCCGTCTCGAAGCAGCAGGAATAGTCAAGGCAGAGGGCAACGCGTTCGTCAAACAGTTCCACACGAACCCCGACGCATTTCTTGGTTGGGAGGTAAGTTTTCTGACTCACTGGCAAGTCTTTGATTCTCTCCTATGTGCATTTTTACACATATATGTAAAAATGCACTTTTTAAATTACAACTGGGCGTACAATATCTTCTCTGCTGGTTTGTACGAGATAATCGACTCACACATCTCCGAGTTTAGGAGCTAAGACAAATCATCGCAAACATGGACAAGATACATATGAACCTTTTCATCGATCGACAATCACATTTCCTCGTCAGGTACACAGTGACGGGACCATTTGGTTCGACCTGGACTGCATGGACCTGGACGAGCTGCAGTACTGTGGGTTCGGCTTTAGCGAGACGGATCAGCCGGCCGGCACACACCATGACACAGACGTCTACATCGCACACCGGAGGCAGGTGGAAGATAGGTGAGGATAAAAGAGAGGGAGGGAGAGCACAGAGAAAAGGTAGAGGGAAAGAGGACAGACGAGAAAGAGACACGCCCGTTCATCCTTGTCCTATGAGTCCAATGATCGTGTCGCGAGTTAGGGTAATGCAAACCTGATTTCCCTTCACCCCTCACAACGGACGTCTTTTCATCATGTCAAATCCATATTAACCCTGTCTGTCCCGCCCCGTCTCGTCCTTTTCATCTCCCCATTCGTTCTGTCCAGTTCATCCCATCCCTATCCCATCCCCGTCCGCCCAGGTACTCTGCCAGCAACTGGAGCACACCGCGGCTGGACCAGCACCAGGACGTGAGCTGCGACCACTGCGCGGTGCTGGACGGCAGGCTGCACGCCACCTTCTTCCGCAACCTCAGCACCGGCGACGTGGCGCAGGACGTCAGCATCGTCAACAGGACGTACCGCGTCAGCTGGGCCATCGGCGTGGTGCGGGACGGTCGCGTCAGCGCGCACAACTTCACTCCGCGCGCAGAGAGCGAGTACATGTGAGACCACGCCGCGGGGCGTACTGAATGGAAGCCGAGGGGGAAGGATGGTGGGATATTACCATCCTGAAACGGAGATGCGCTAAGCTAGCCTGGTATGATATTGGTATGATATTGCTGTTGATATGGAATTCACAATACAACACCTCAGGGTGTTAATCACAGAGATTGTCTTTGGAGTTGTGTTTTTTCAATCTCAATCGATAAAGTTACAACTAGATTGGGAATAACGCGTCAAAATCGCTCCATTTGTAAGTAATTGACTGCGACCTCATCGAGAACGCCCGACAATTCACACCCTTTTCTCCCGCCAGGTACATCAACTTTCTCGAGCCAGAAGCCACGGAGATGCCGAAGTTCGAGGTGCACCACGAGGTATCTGCGGCGGGGGCGCTGCAGATGGTGATGACGGCAGTTTTAGGATTCGCCCTCCTCTGTGAGCTCCTCTCCTGAGGCCAGCTCGACTACGGTGTTGTCGACAGGTGGCGAAATATAGGTAGTGTTATTTATGACGTAACCTCGGCTACGGCGGAACGTAGGATAGCTTATGAAAAGTGGATGTCGAATGTTCTGCGAATGTGCATGTCTGTAGGATCTTATAAGCGTGAATAGTGTGCATATTTGTTATCAGGAAGCACAAATATGTTTATATGAGAAGGTGAAGGTGTTCTGGGGCACTAACTTTACGTGGTTCGTACCTTGCTGATGCCCAGCTCGGAGATGTACTGGGCGATCTCCTTGGACGAGGCGCAGGAGAGGTTCCTCACGGCCATCGGACCGTCCGAGCTGGCAGCCGCCTGTTCAGCGCGCTGCTGCAGGAACTTGTAGCACTGCTGGTTGAGCACCTCCACGAACTCGGACTCAAAGTCCTGGTCCGAGTACCACGCGCCGCCCGTCACCGACTGGTCCGGCTCGATGTCGTACAGCATGTAGACCTTCTTGCGGGACGCCTGTGGAGAGAGGAGGTGTGATATCAAACGCGCCGGGTGATTGGTGGACGGAGACGCGACGTGTTCGTTGTTATTAGCGAAAACAAGTTGTACTGTCTAATTTGAGTGCAAGGTGGTAACTTCCGAATGCCAGCCTCCACTCTCCAGCTCTAGCGGCAGATTGATAACGAGAGAGCAATTCGATGTGTACATATGCCGAATAGTTACCTAGTACGAAAATCAGTTTCTATTCACTCTTGTAATAAATCGAATAGCCATACCAACTCAACTCGTACAATAATACGAAAAGATTATGGTCTTACCGCAACAGACGTCACTGATTTGATGAGCTTCTTTCCCTCCATAGTTTTCAGCAGTTTGTTCAGCTGGGTCATGCCAAGGTTTGATTTGAAGCGAATGTCGCGGATCCATATTCCCTGAAAAAGACAACAAAAAAAAAAAATGAAGATCAGAGCTAGCAAGCTTTTCAACCTAAGAAGAATTAGACAACACATTCGAAGACACGCAAGCCATACAAGAGTTGAAAAGGTATCAAGTGCACCCCTACAGAAGCGGCGGAACACCTTTAATTCAGGGGGGCCCTGCCGACTTTTGGTCCCATTCTTTCCATGCAACGCCCATAGGGCTAATGTTAAAATGTCAAAATCAAGGAGGGGCACGATGCCCCGGTGCCCCCCCCCCCCCGTTCCGCCGCCTATGCACGCCTATTACCGTAGCCCAGAGCAATTACTGTTTTATAGATGGCATATGTGAAAACACATCCCAGACAGCTGAAGCACAAATGTTTCGCACCACATCATTCAAAAGCAAACATTTCGTCGTCTATGCTTACTTTGTTGCCGGCCTCCTCTATGATGCCATAAACAATCTTTTCCTCGGCGTCGCCGCCCCGTGCTCGACTGGTGCCCTTCAATCGGTAGATGAGCTCGGAACCCTGCTTAAACAGGTCGATATGGCCCTGAAAGAGGCACGAGAAATAATGAGCAAAAGAACAGCTGATTAGTTGACCTTAGAATGTCATTCAATGTAAAAATGTTTCATAGAAGTGTTCAAACAATTATAATGACGCACTGAGATTGAAAGGCATTAAAATAACAATAAGCAATGATGGGTACAATAATGATCATTGGAATTCATATTGTACTTACATAGAAACATTCATAGTTACACATTATACATCTGGAATCCCACAGGACACTTGAAAAACATCAAAATGAAAGCAAGTGATGCATCAGTAAAGCACTGAAAGCAGTTAACAGCATGCCTATTTGCGAAGTCATTAGTGTTAATGAGGTAGCAGGACCTACCGCTGCCAGCAGGTTGTTGACCGCTTGAACACGCTCCTTCTGCTCCAGCTCCGGGTTGTCATTCTGGATGATCTTGTCTGAGATTCCCTTTGGATATGTGCGACATAGCTCCAAGATCCTGTGGTAAGTTAAGTCCAGATTGGAAATTTATATTCCATAAGAATATTGTTAATCATTGTACTTTGGTGAATTATATAGGTAATAATTGATGAGCAGGCAGTCACAAAACACATTGACATGGAAAATGATCTTGAAATCAATGAAACTTGGTGCGTAAGCAGTATATGTTAAATAACACCAATCATGGACCAATTCTTATCATACAGTGAGAAGGTAACTACTGCACCTAGTGTGCAGAAGTCATAGCTTAGAACTACCAACCAGGCTGTGCCAGAACAGGGGTTCAGCACAGGATCAGAGTTAGGGCATCGCATCACTAAAAATTTGTGCCACCTGTGTACACACAAGATCTTGTCAACATTACTTCACTTTACATTTGACCTCACTCATTCCTGATGCTGGTCCTTACCTTTCTTCAACTGGACCAAGAGCTGCCTCTGTGTCCTTTGCAGCACTACTGGAAGCCATCACTCCTAGCAGCCAGTCAAAGGAAGGAATAAGTTTGGTACCTCCTTGCCCTGAAACATCACAATCAGTCTTCCTTAAAACATATCAATATTTTACATGTGGTCAAAACATACACTATTAATTGATGCCAGTGTCCCAAAATATTTCGATTTGGGTGGGAAACGACATCCAAATAAAAATCATTTTGCACTCTCATCTCTAATATCTAAGAGCAATTTTCCACTACCAGCTTTACTGAGAATAAGCATTTGCATTGGTCATTTTACATATTAGGTACATTTTACCTCATTATATATAAATGTATGCCATTGATCTCTTTCCCACTCATTTTGGGCCTTATCTGACTGAGGAATTTTCCATTCTTATCCCCCTTTTTGGAGAAGAATTTTCTCTCTGACACCCAAGCCAAAACACAATTTTGGGACACTGATTGATGCAATGTCACATTTGTGGGTTTATACTTAATAGTGGCAACTGGAAACCTGAGTGGAAAATATTGAAAAAAGAAAAGGCACGTGATGTGTTATGTCAAAATCAGCCTGTGCATTTGCATACAACATAAATACAAAGCACCCATTGAAAAATAAATCAAGCAATATCATGACACTGATATATCCCACTGTTCACACCTCAATCAACTGATAAATTGATTATTGAGACGGACCCAAGGTTACATAAACCCCGACGGGCGACGGCTCGCCGCCGCACGAAGCAAGGACAATATTTTGAAGCAGCTGCGTATGATTTGACTACAGACATTTAGCGCTAACAGCTGTTGATTACCCAGTGCATTTATTTTGAAATTACCTAGTTATGAGAAAAACACTTCTTTGAGACTTAATGTAGCTTTATTGGCACTGATAACGGGTGACTCATTAACTTTTTTGCCATTGTCTTGTTGAGTTTGTTATCAGTTGTCAAAAAAGCAAAATCATTGTAGCCGACAGGTGGCGACATCTGGGTATCTAGCAGAAACCAAGCGCAGAAAGTAGAGTATCTTGGAAAGTAGCGCGTGGTCCGCGCCGTCCGCGCCAAAGATTATAATCCGCGCGTGGTCGAATTGGTCGAATTCGTCAAATTTTGGTCTATATGCCGGGACGTGATTTTGGTGTGATTAGCGTGACAGGAAGGGGTGCATCTCCTTCCATTTCATTCACTTGTATAAAAAAAAAGAAAACGGTCAAGGCCCGAGGCCCACGGTGTTCAAAGTCGGGACTGAGCTTATAAAATAAACTAGAGGCCTGTACACATTCAGCTGTTGTGCTGTTGTCAGCCGAGAAACGCTCACCCTATTGGCTGAAAAATTAATGACGTCATGTTGCACTTGCAACATGACGTCATCTCCCTGCTGACGGCAGCATGGGCTGACGAGCTGTGCTGCCAGGAGAAAGCAAGTGCAGAGATGCCGAGCCGTCAGCAGAATCCATAATTGACGCATTTAGACACTGGTAGTGGCGCATGTAAACAAATCACGTGCCACATTTTTACTAAGTACTGCAGATAAATGAAAATTCGGCACTGTATTGACGCTTTTCACGTTATTTTGTTTTCATAATTATTTATCAATGTAAGAAGAGTAAATATTTCCATTGCATATTATATGCAAATATTTTGATAATATACCTAGCTATTAAAATATTATATTAATAAAGGACATGAATATGAGACGATGTATTTGTTTACAAAGCACAGGGGAGCAATGCCGCTTCAACCCTATTGGCCGTAGTGTCTAACGGTGGCGGCCATATTGCGCAGACCAGAAACCGGCTGCCGCCTGTGTTGAGGAATAGGGAATTCGGGACCTCGATTTACGTTTGCGGCCGCCGTATCCGTTACGTTCAAGTTACGTAGATACGGAACCCGGCATCTTACGCAGAATTGAGTGGGGAACACGATCGTATATTCAGAATTCCTCAAATTCACTCGCCTGACCTACATTTGCCCCGGCCGAGGGGTTTGATTGAACCCACCTCGCTAATGCACCGCTAATTAAACTAGAATTAAGCGGTAAAGTGGTCGTATGCGGCAAAGTATAATGCAGAGTGACTGGTAGGAACCCGCTGTAAGGGTCTCAGGTCAACCGGTGACCTCTGAGGTCAGGTCAAGTGATCTAAGGCACGGGTTCGGTTTTTGGTAAATAACTTCGCCAAAAATGGCCGTAGAGCCGCGATTTTGGTATCATCGTGTTCAGCTAGCTCAGGCGCATCGAGTGATATACTTTTTGTTCGGGTCAGGTCAACTTAGGGTGTTGACCTCAGGTCAAGGTCAGGTCAGCACCCCCAGGTCACGAAGTTGGTCGAAAGAGGTCATGTCGCATATCATTCGATTCGGCAGGTCTTCCTGAGTCCATTGGTGGCTTTCCCGACTCGCTAGCTCAATTTGATCGGGAGTTATTGAAGAAAAATGGTGACCCTTGTGACGTCACAAATGACGTCATGCAAGGGCAACAATGCAAATATGAAGCATAGAACCTTGCAAAGAGTGCATGAAATCATGATTTTATATGCTTGAGATAGTTTCAGATCATTCTCGGCGCCAAAATAACAATTTTCATATTTCCCCATTGACTTATAAGGGTTTAACGTATTAGTTTCATATAGCTGATGATTTTTTAGGATTTCATCTTGTTCTCCACTCAATTCTGCGTAAGATGCCGGGTTCCGTGTCCACATAGCTTGAGCGTAACGGATGCAGCGACCGCAAACGTAAATCGAGGTCCCGAATTCCCTATTCCCCAGCACAGGCGGCGGCCGCTTTCTGGTCTGCGCAACATGGCGGCACCGTTGGACACCATTTGGCGGCCGATGCGCATTCCACATTATAGAGTTCAGTGTTACAAAGCCACATTTGTAGACAGTCAGCCACTGCTGACATTTCTCATCAGCCGAATGTGTACAACTCACGGACGTATAAATAAACTGGACTGACGATCCCAATGAACCTCCTATGGAAGATAGTGAAGCCGACAAGGCGCCATTTTACGTTGCCAAAAAGCCGTGCTGTGAAAGGTCATCGAGCCGATACAATTGGAATTGCGTCTAAACGGATGATCGGATCGAGATGCTGGTGGTACCGTTCGACGGGTAATGCTTTGAGGCAGGTGATGATGCATGTCACAGGTCATTCGGTGTCACGTGGCGCGTGCCACGTGCCGACAAAGTCAGGAGGGGCAAAAACCTTTAAGCGACGCTCCAAATTAAACGGTGGGCGGCACAGGTGCCAAATTCACAGGTCACACGTCCCGGTGTTCGACCATTAACATATGGTAAGCTCGGCAGCAGGGGGTGCGGAATGCACGCGCCAGGGGCGAAAAACATGTTTTGAGGAGGCATCCTCCGATTCCGGAAAACCTTGGCCTAGGCACACCAAATTTGGCACACTGACACGACTGGACGAGCGCTTTAACCCTCGCCCGCACATGGGGGGGGGTGGTTGCCCCCCCCCCCAGGCAGTCTTTCTGCTCTGCACTCAACATTTTTAGAGCTAGAAGGCTGATTTTTCGTATAGCTGCTCGTCTATCCTGATCCTTTCTTGATGTTCACTGAAAATTTCAAGTTTCTGTGATTTTTAGTTTCGGAGATATGACCTTGTTTTTCAGGTCATGTCATGACCCAAATGGCCAATTCTCAACATCTTGCGTTTGCCATGGGCCTTGTGAGCTTTTGACACCCTGATTTCGGCCTTTTTTGCCAGTCTTACCTCCCACCTATCATGGGACATGTTGTTCGACGATGTACAGGGGTCAAGGTCAGGGTCAAGGTCAACCTAGGTCATCTAAGATAATTGCGTTTTAGGCAAGCTGAATTTACTTTTTGTGAAGTTTTTTTGACTGCATTTTTGGTAAAAGCTTCTCAGATCATGATTTCATGTGATATGGACCCAAAAACAATCGGTGCACACATCAGTATACACACAGACACACACAGACATACAAACACATATAATTGACCTTGACCTAACTTGACCTGAAATGACCTCAGCAGCAAAATTCTGGTCGGATAGTGTGACAAAGAGGTTCTAGCTGGCTTGGCACCAGAAAACAGCATCGTCATCGGTATTTGATAAGCAGCGCACTTGATATCCAACGGTGACCCAAAACAGCAACATTTTTTAGTTTGACCTGACCTGGAAGGTCAATGACTGACCTGAGAAGGTAAAACTGGGTATCATTGGATTCGTCTCTTCCCAAAGAATCTTTTTGGTCTTTACTGCTAAGCTCTATCTCCAACAGGAACGAAATGGCGCGGGGGGGGGGTGGCAACCACCCCCCCCCCCCATGTGCGTTCTAGGATGGGAAAATGGCATGTGCGGGCGAGGGTTAAGGCGCTGTTCAAATAGATGTGCTGAGGTACACGGTGCACGTGCTGTGCACGTGCAAACCTTTTGACGTTGCACTCTGTGTCACATATACGGCAGAGCGGGTAGCGCTAGCAACCTCAAAGTGCCAAATTTACACAGGCCATCCAGAATGCATTCCCGCATAGTTATTGAGCATATCCATCTCCTGGTGGACCCCGAAGGTGCGCTCTGCACGTGCAAAAAATTGTCCGCGCCGGGCGGTGGGGATGCTTGGACACCCCATTTGGATTTATGTAAATATCTCGAAAACGGCGTTGTGTAGCACCGTCGTTTTTGGCACACCTTTTCATACATCTTTTTCACACATGCTGCGTAACTTTCAGACTTAGGTCACTCAAGGTTAGGTCATCAGGTTACGTTAATTCGGGCTCCAAAACTTTTAGCTACCCAGCAACGCAAATTTACGCTACCATCGCCCGGTAGCCCAGCATAGGCATCTTTGTTTCCACGTTGTTTGCGCCTGTAGTGATACTGTACCGCAATAACCATTATCTTCATCTTTCACCCATAGATGGCAGTAGCAGAGCGCCTGCATCTATGCTGTGCCGCAGTGCTTTTACAATACGAACTGAGCATTGAGCAAGCGCGGTGTAATACGATTATGTGGTGGCCTGGACGGTGACCGCGGCCAAGAAATGGTTCTAACTTGACTGAGCAGCGGTAAATCAGCGTCTGATATTAAGTTATTATTACGAGACCATATTTGGCCGGAATCGCTATTCGGCGTATGTCGGCGCGCACTAGCCGCGCGTTTGCTGTCTTTTCGTGGTTTCAAGCGTTCAAACATGTGATATAATGTTGGTCACATGCAATATGGTGGGTGTCAAGGTCACGTGAAAATTAGGTCAAGGTCAATGACCTTTAATGACCTTGGTTCACCTTTTCCAGTTTACATGTTCCTAGGACAATTTTTGGAGCTGATTTCGAATTTAGCATTCAGTTTAACATTTAAGAAGTTATAGTTTTAGAGCCTTCGATCGTAACATGCTAAGACGCCATCAGTGGTGGTTGACACTATGGATAAGCGGCATGACACCTACTGGTTGACCTGACCTGACCTGACCCGACCTGGCCTAAATGCATGAAAACATCAGCTGTGATAAAAACAAACATGACATTCCTGATAAATGACCCGTAGAACTCGCAACAAACTCAATTTACGAAGTTGAACTATACATATCAAAAGTGTTTTCAGCGCTCTTGCATGTCTCTACCGAAGGTTACTGTCAAAATCTTGTGGAGGGCTATCATGACCTGAAATAACCCCAGGACATAAGTAGAAGTCACAGGTGCAATTTCCCGACTGAATTTGTCACGTTTCTCTGCTACCCGTGTCCCGTTATTTGAGTGCATTGTTTAGTATGTTTATATGAGTTTCGTGCAACAGAAGCGCAGTTTAATTGTCTCCCATTGACTTACCTATCAGGTCGCAAAATCAACAGAACCCTAGGTCAGTGACAGTGAAATTCCGAGGTAGAGGTACTTTACGTTTTGTGGTGCTCTTAGTAATCGCTGCCAACGTTTTAGACCAATTGTTCAGTCTGTGTAGCTATGACGGGCACTATAACTTTTCCTAAGGTAAGGTCACTTGGACGTAACCTGATGACCTAACCTTGAGTGACCTAAGTCTGAAAGTTACGCAGCATGTGTGAAAAAGATGTATGAAAAGGTGTGCCAAAAACGACGGCGCTACACAACGCCGTTTTCGAGATATTTACATAAATCCACATGGGGTGTCCAAGCATCCCAACGCCCAGCGCGCACAATTTTTTGCACGTGCAGAGCGCACCTTCGGGGTCCACCAGGAGATGGATATGCTCAATAACTATGCGGGAATGCATTCTGGATGGCCTGTGTAAATTTGGCACTTTGAGCTTGCTAGCGCTACCCGCTCTGCCGTATATGTGACACAGAGTGCAACGTCAAAAGGTTTACACGTGCACAGCACGTGCATTGTGTACCTCAGCACATCTATTTGTACAGCGCCTTAAAGCGCTCGTCCAGTCGTGTCAGTGTGCCAAATTTGGTGTGCCTAGGTCAAGGTTTTCCGGAATCGGAGGATGCCTCCTCAAAACATATTTTTCGCCCCTGGCGCGTGCATTCTGCACCCCTGCTGCCGAGCATAACATATGTTAATGGTCGAACACCGGGACGTGTGACCTGTGAATTTGGCACCTGTGCCGCCCACCGTTTAATTTGGAGCGTCGCTTAAAGGTTTTTGCCCTTCCTAACTTTGTCGGCACGTGGCACGCGCCACGTGACACCGAATGACCTGTGACATGCATCATCACCTGCCTCAAAGCATTACCCGTCGAACGGTACCACCAGCATCTCGATACGATCATCCGTTTAGACGCAATTCCAATTATATTGGCTCGATGACCCTTCAGAGCACGGGTTTTTGGCAACGTAAGATGGCGCCTTGTCGGCTTCACCTGAATGGAGGTGGTTGCGGGTCCAGTTTATTTATACGTCCGTGGTACAACTCCGTCAGCCAGAAACGGTGGGTGGAGCCTATTTCGGCTGACAACAGCACAACAGCTGAATGTGTACAGGCCTTTGGCTTCAATCGAATGGGCATAACATCGACAAGAGTGACAAGAGTCAAGAACTCTTGAGGAACAAGCATCTGAATTTGAACTCGCGCGAAATGAAGTAAAATATGCAGACTGCAGATTAAGATGGAAGCTTGAATCTTGATGCCTTTATACGGCCCATACGGCCTTAGGTTTGATGCAGGTCAACTTCACACTCAAAGCGCGGCGTGGACGCTGCACAAATCACAATGCATCCACCGGGTCAAATGCCCGGATTCCGGCAAGAATGCACGATTTGCACATATTGCATGCAATAAGCAAACGCCTGAAGGTATGTAGGCATGTTCGTATTTTACGCTCCGTGCGTGTTTTGGCTTTGCAAAGTTTGCAGTATGATGATTGAGAAGTGCAAACTGCAAATATGCATTTGTGTTGCCTTTACTTTGCTGCCGATCGTGTGCCTTTACTTTGTTGCCGACCGATGAAGTTTCCCGAGACGGCGAGTCTCATCCCTGTGTTGATCTATCACCCAAAAGGTCTTGGAAGAAAGTACCAAATACTTGAAATTTGACTCTATGTCTGCGTTTCAGGTTAGCCTGTTGTTGCCGCTGCATGCAGCTTACAACCGTCCTTTGCCGTCTCAGATGACTGTTAGCCCTGGAAGCCGTGCTAGATGGCTGCGTCGTCCTGACTGCACGGTCTGGTAGCGGCAGGAGTGGGACCCTCCGCCAAGTAAGTCCCTTTCATCGACACACTTTCCCGGGATCTTTCCAAGGATGCAGCTCATGCGTGCAGATTGCAGGTGCCTATGTGTGTTCCGTAATCCGCATTCAGGTAGTTAACGCTAAACGTATACATATATGTGATGAAGTTGTATTAGCTTGGTCGCCCCTGCTTTACCGCATGCACTATGCAGTAGTATGCAGGCAATTTGTATGCATGTATCATGCATCATGCATGGATATTGTTTCTTAGTTGTGCAGTCAGCTCGACTTCCAGTTTCCTAGTTGTGCAGTCGCACCTTTGTTCGTAAACCATATTTAAGCGGTTTGTCGTAACTCGTATCGCACATAGGGGTCCGTAAGATTCATGCGTGGGTTCGGAGCTTTCTTCGAAGCTCTTTCACACAAGACGGTTACTGACCCCGGCGCGGTTCACACTGGCTCTTTATGACCCCTCGGGGCCAGCCGATGACGTCACGCGAAGTGATGACGTAGCGCGATGTTGGCGAGCGATACGCCAGGGACTGGACATGGATGACGCACCTACCCGGGCATCCGTTTGATGACGGGGCGAACTCTGATGACGCGATGACGCCGGTGGGCGGAGGCGGCACGTGTCCGGCTCCCCGGAAAGTCACCGGAAAGGCCGCGCCGCCTCCGCCTCCGCCCTCGGGCGCCCACCTGTGCCGGCCCGCCACCCTGACCCTGACATTGGAACAGGAATTCCCTGGGAGCCAGTGGCGGCCAGCGCCGGAAATGCCACCAGAGCGGCGGGGCGGCCGCCGCTTCTCAGAACCGGCGTGCGGCCAACAGGTGGCGTCCGCTGCCGGTCCGCGCGGCGGGGCACACCGCTCTCTGTGCAGTGTGCACGGTGCAATAACAGACGCTCACTGCAGGCACAGTGGAGGAGCCGGGCCGGGCCGGGCCATGACCCGATAGTACGATCACCAGAACGGCGAGTCTCTTCTCTCTGTCATAGAGCCTACTGGCGTCTGACCGAACCGGGGACGGGCGGGGTGGTTCGCTGTCGGCCCGAGCAGACGTGGATGCCGAGACAGTGGCCAGAAATAGTCCCCGGTGCCGGGGAGGTGGCCCGGCTGCCGTGGTGCCGGCCGGGGTGCTGGCACGCTGAGAATTGTGGGCCCCGGGCGGCGCCTCCCATCTCGCCGGAGGATGAGCCGCCTCGCCGGCACTCAAAGCGCGGTGATTTGTCTCATTTATCTGCCTCCACGTTTTGCGCTCATTCTGGGTGTCAGGCAAAGAGACATTTTTATTTCAACTAAGACGGTGCCTTGTTTTGAGGTATATGCATAATGAAAGCATACCGAGCTCCTCACGATGTCTGTTTTGGCCAGGAGCGCCTCTGACCCTGAGTGCTTGGGTCGTTTGGCAGCCGCTCGTTTCATGCATGGCGTTGTGGCTGATGTGCCTCGGTGGCCCCCGAATCGTGATTGGCATATTAAGTCGGCCATTTTTCGCGTCGTTCTGCCGACGGATGGCGATTGTCGTTTCAGTTAGCGGTGCCGGTGATTGGACGGTGGTCCATGAACACCCGTCTAGTAGACTGCTTAGCACGGTGGGAAGAACGCCGGGCATCGCCGCTGTAATCGTTAAATGCTGGAATGATAATCACCGATTACCCCGCCCATTGATTTCTCCAATGAAATAAGTTCTTTGGAAAGTTATTGAATTGGGGCGATGCGTTTCAGTTTCCGTTGACACGGGATGAATCCATGCCAATCGAGATACTCGACGTTATCGAGCGGCTTAAAAAAACCTCAGGAGCTGGTTGTTACGCAACCCAGCTCTTTTACAATCCAGTGGTGTAGTGTAGTAACTTTTTGAACGATGTTGGAGATTAATCGGTTGTTCCCTGGAATTAACCGGAGATTAATTCCCTGGTTGATGGAAATTTCAAGTGTTGTTTGATCAACTTTCCAAAGCAAGACATGCTGATAGGATAGGCTTCGAATATCAAAGTTTTCGAACAATCTTTGATCGAAAAAACTCGTCGGGACTGCTATATTCAATAATGATGTTCTCACTTCAGAAACCAACATATCGGCAACTTGTTCCCGCCCGGATGACGAAAGTAACCAGAACAAATGTGCCCAAAGTCCATTTGTACATACGTGTAATGGACGTAAAGCGAGATCCTTGCAATCCACATTCCAGGATAGCTCGGCCCTCTAGAAATGCATGGTTAGAAGGCCAATGGTGTCTCAGACCTTCTGAAGTCCGTTTCTGCCGGCTCGATGGCCGCTCGCTGCCGGTCCCAGCTGGTATTGGTGCGTCCCTCGCTGCTCTCCTCCGTTTCTCGTCCATCCCCCTCGACCCCTGGTCGTTTGCAGCGTCCCCCTCTCGCAGTATCCTCCAGCAGATCAGTGGTGGTGTCTGTCGCTGATCCGACCAACTGGCGAGCGGATTAATGGTGAACGGTGAAGGGAAATTAGCGCCGATTGATAACCTATGGTGTGGGACGGGGTCTTCGAACCAGGGTTGGTGTTCTGTCGGCCCCGGGGATGACTGAAAACCTGTTGTATTATGTGAGTGAGCAGAAAGGCTCACGAGGTGTGATTGTGAACGGTAATCCCCCTTTGTAGCGTGTGGCTTTGGAAGCCACGTTCATTCGGATGCACCAACCGATAAACTGGACAGCGGACACTGAACAGTGAGCACTGGACATCAATGTGCTGCTGTCAACTCTGGTAGCCGGTGGGGTCACCGGACGACCGTGGGGGCCGCGGTGCTCCTGTCTGGAGGTCACGGGTGCATAGGGGCACCTGCCAGCATGCAGATATCACTGGCAATGGTGGCAGCGGCGAGCGACCAGCGGCAGGCCGTCCTGCCTGGTGCTGGCTGATCTGTAATCGAATGTCAAGCCGGTGCTCATGTGAATTCGTATATGGTAGGGGCGATTAATAACTTGATTGTTTTCGCATGCAGGTGGTGGTTGAATGGTTTCCCAGGAGCAGGAGGAGGAGTTGAGCTCCGGTTATTGGCTTTTGGCCGGAAACGTTTTATCTTGGAAAATGATTATAATTTTTGGAATAAGTACAGATATAAAGTTGCCGGTGTCCGTTATATCAACTTCTCTAAGACTTCAGATGTATTCTGATGGACTTGGTGTTAAGAGTGCCCGACATATACATCAATTTCGTTGTCGTGTGATTTTTGGCCGATCCGCGGCTGGCGCTAACCAACTGTGGCATTGGCTGTATCGTGAATCGTGATTCGCGAATATCGACCAGACTTCGGAATCGAGCGACCACAGCTGACAGCTGTAAGTCCGGTACAGAATCCACAGCTGTTTGCACGTTTCCCACTATCTGACTCTCAGGCATTGCGGCGGATCTCGAGCGACTGGCTTTGACCCTGGAAGAGCGTAACCTGTTTGAATTTCGGGTGATAATCAAAACCTCGATATGTGGTTCGTGAACACTGGACAGCAAGGACTGGTTTGTTTCGACTCGGACGAGACTCTAAAACTCTGACATCCTGGACCCTCAAATGTCTCTGATGTTCCCAAGTCCCGATGCTCAGGCCTCGCCAATTTTCTGGGATTTTCCTGATGCTTTTTTAGGTCCCAGACAGGCGTACCCAGCTCTATGACGTCTGAGACCCTCTGCCGCCCTTTTCAATGGGACTTGTCTGCCAGCGGAGACGACGGAGACGCCGCCGGCTGCAGTCCAGAGACGTCCTCCTCTCAGTACTTGTCACCATGCGCCGCGCGCGCCACATGGCGCTGACTGCTTTACGTGGCGGTCACCACAGAGCAATGGAGCATTGCCTCTGAATTGCAAATGTGTGCTTCCCGACAGTGCAGGTCGTGTGAATTCATTGACTGTATATCGGTTATTCGATCTGGTGTCATGCAGTAGCCGGCAGTCGGTGATGGTTGTTCCGATAGTCAGACGCCCGTCGGTGCCTCTCCTTAACAGTTGACATGTCCTGGTCGAGCTGGAACTCCTGTGGGCCTGACAGCATGGTATCGGGGCTGTAGTTTGCTCTTGACTCATCGCTATACTCGGATGTCCAGTGTCCAAGACTCCGCAAGGGGTCCTCACTCCTCACCTTGGCAGAGCAGAGGTAGTAGCCGAGCACATAACAAGCTGTGGTGTGTATTGGCAGATGCCAAATCTGGGAAACGATGCAGACTGTGTGCCCGAGAGACTGTCTGAACTTATATAGGTCGGACGTCGGTGCGAAATATCAGAGGCATAGAGGACCAAAGGTGTCGCGTCCGCTTCTGTGCTAGTGACTCTCTCTCTCTCTCTCTCTCTCTCTCTCTCTCTCTCTCTCTCTCTCTCTCTCTCTCTCTCTCTCTCTCTCTCTCTCTCTCTCTCTCTCTCTCTCTCTCTCTCTCTATCTCTCTCTCTACCCTCCCTAACATTGGACTCCCCCGGCGCCCCCCCCCCCGGCTGCGGATGGAGCGGCTTGGGGGGGGGGGGGGGCGTCGACCGATCCTGGCTGGCAGCGTCCGGCGGCCCGGGCCCACCGACCGACCGCGTCCCTGCAACGACGCTGGCGGGTTCAAGGGCACACACGATCAATGGCGCGGCCCGCGGCGGCGGCGGCGGCGGTCACCAGCCCAGTTGGCCGCCCTGCTGCCGGGACAGACCGGCCGTCCGATGGCCGCTTGTTGACCTTGTAGCCATGACTGTTGACCTGATTCGGGTTCAGTCAGACCTTTCAGTCGAGCTGAGTGATGATGTATTCCGAGAATGAGGGCCGCGAATGCGAGTTCCCGGTGCGAGTCGATCGCTTGGCATGCAAAGGTGATGACGGTCACGCTGGTAATGACATACTTTGAGGAGAAACTGGGTCAGCCATGGTCATGGGAGTTCATTGAAGATTCACAATCTTCTTGAGCTATCTACCAGAACATCCGACTGCTACTTTCTACTAAGGGTTCGTTTTCAGGGAGAGGGGCACCGAGGTATCAGCCCTTTTACTAAACTCCAGTGTACTGCCGCTTTTTATTACCTACGATGTTTATCTTGGAGAACT